GAAGGGAAAAGGAGGCTCACATGCACAACACCCTGGCTTCCTTCCCCAGCACTGAGGAAAACCAACTGTAGTTGGGTGTCGTGGCTTAAGCCCATATCCCAGCACTCAGGAGCCTGAGGCAGGAGGATCACCTTGAGGTAGAGGCCAGCCTGGGCTACATAGTGAGACAAACAAACAAACAAACGCCAAAACAAATACAAAAACCTCTGCTGGAGCAGAACGGAAGCCCAGGATGGCCAAGTCTGTCTAGGACTCTGCTGTTGACAACAGCTCTTCCCTAGCAGTGTGGGGAGAGAGACCCAGACCTTTATTTTTAAAAATTCTTGGGCTGCGGGTGTAACTCAGTGGTAGCAAGTGCTTAACAAGTGAGAATCCTTGGGTTTGTTCCTCAACACCACCACAGCCATCTACTTCAGCCGATTCACACTTTGATAAAATAGGGCACACTGGGGTGAGTCTGGTGGACAGCAGTGCATTCTACTGTCATAAAGAGCTGCTAGAGAAGAGAGCCAAGATTCCCAGCACAGAGCAGTGGGAAGTATTTAAGGACACAGGGCTGCTCATTACCTTGATTTAATCATCACATTGTATACATGTATAGAATCATGCTGTACCCCATAATACATATAATTATTATATGTCAATACTAATTTATTTATTTATTTTTAAATTTATTTTATTCCTTTGGGGGTTTTTTTTGGAGGCAAGATCTCCCTATATAGTTCAGGCTGGCCTTGAACTCACTGTGTAGCCCAGGCTGGTCTCAAACTCCCAGCAATCCTCCTGCCTCAGCCTCCTGAGTGCTGGGATCACGGGCGGGTGGTGCTCCCAGCTAGTTTGGTCTCAGGTGCAGGTCTTCCTTCATTTGCTAACTGGGATGTGTGGGACAGCTCACTGTCACGGCTGTTCTGAAAGTGGCCCCAAGGGGTCTGCACAAAGAAATCACTCCTGAGAATCCCCGCAGAGCAGGTAAGGGCAGTCCCCAAGCCCTGTCCCTCAGAGCCTGGAGACTTTCCACCTGTCTTCGCAGCTCCTCTGCTCAGCACACTGCTTGCCGAAGGAGGGAAGAAGGCCCAGACTCCATGTGTCAGCGCCAGAGGGACACAGCCCACACCGCCTTGCACAATCCCTGTAACACTTGCACAACCCGCAGGAGGGAGCGGCTCGGTGACATTTGCACCTAATCCTTCCAGGGGGCTGTGACTAAGACTGCAAACAGGAGGAGGACAGCACACCGTGTGTGGTGCACGGGGACAAACGGGATGACTTCATAGGCAAGGGACAGCTACAGTAAAAGGGGCAAAAATTTAATTAATTGATTCATTTTCTATTATTATTTTTGGAGTTTTGAGACAGCGTCTCTCTGTGTAGCCGAGGCTGGCCTTGAACTCACAGTGATCCTCCTGCCTCAGCCTCCTGAGTGCTGGGATGACAGGCGGGCATCACCAGAAGCAGAAGATAAATATTTTGAAGGGCCTTTCCCCCAGTGATCCTCAAACAGGGCCACAGTGAACAGCCCAGACTGTGAGGGGCTGTGTAGGGCTGGAGTCCTGGGCCCTAGGGGTGCTGTGGCAGGTGGAGACACGTGGTCACAGGGACGGAGCTGCCATCACAGAGCCCTCCGGGACCTGGCAGGCAGGGCTATGGCTGCTTCACAGGGATGGAGGCTCTTCTCTGGAGAATGTGGCGCTTCCTTGTTCCGGATTGGGGGGGGCAGTGGCTGTGGGAACAACAGGTGTGAATTCAGGACGCAGTAATTCATCCCGATGGGGTCCTTTCTGTGCCGCCTCCATTACACATTTGCATATTTGCTTGTTTGTTTGAAATGGGGTCTCGCTATGTAGCTCAGTCTGGCCTTGAACTCTCGGAGGTCCTCCTGGCTCAGCCTCCCAAGTGCTGGGATTACAGGGGTTTGCCACCACGCTCGGCTCACCCACCCTTCCCTCCCTCCCTCCCTGTGTCTCTCTCTCTCCTTCCTTTACTGATGGTCAAACCCGGGAGTTACATCCATAGTCTTTTAAACTTTTTTTTTTGGGAGACACCTTCTACCTCAGTCATTAAATTGCCCAGCCTGGCCTTGAATTTGTGATCTTCCTGCCTCAGCCTCCCAGAGCACTGCAATTACAGGTGTGTAGCACTACACCTGGCTTGGGTTCTTATGTGAGCCCAAGGTAGCAGCACCTCACTAGCTATTTGGACTGGATGAACCCTCCGGGGTGCTTTTCCTTCGAGCCTGTCCTGTTCATCACACTTCCGGGCGCACCACACCGGCCACCTGCCCACACGCTGCGCTGCCCTGCTGCTTGTCTGGTTACTCAGAATAGAAACAGACCCCAGGCGGTGCCCTGCTCCGAGGCTGTCAACTACAACCTTCAGCAACTTAATCCTTTATGTGTTTTTAACTTCCATCACCTCCTTTCTTTCCCTCATTACCTCTTATTGGAACTTTTTTTTTTTTTTTTACCCCTGTCTGTTCAGTTTGACATCGTTGTCCTCTTTACCTATTTTATTTATTTACTTATTTTGGACACAGTGTTTTGCTATGTAGCCCAGGCTGGCCTTGAACTGACAGCAATCCTTCTGCCTCAGCTTCCCAAGTGCTGAGATTACAGGTGTGCACACCATCACACTCAGCTAGTTTATTATTTTTCTTTTTCTTTTGGTACTGGAGATCAAACTCATGACCTTGCACTTATGAGGCAGGTGCAGTGCCACTGAGCTAAATCTCTGGTCTTGTTTATCATTTTGTATTTCTTTATTTCTTTCTCTTCTTTCCTTTTTTTTTTTTTTTTTTGTGATGCTGAAGGTCAATATGAGACCCTGATCCCCCCCAAAACACATACACACAAAGTGAAGCTTTTTTGAATTTCCTTTTACACCTCCTCTGATATCTATCTAATGAGTTGTCATCTGCTGTCTTTTTTCATTCATTATAAGCTCCTTCTGGTTCTTGGGATAATAAATGTTTTTTATTGAAAATGGGACATGTTCCTGTTTTGAGCTGCTGCATCTCATTTCCATTCCCTGCTGCAGCTGGCTCTCCCTAACATCCCTGCAGGGCCAGAGAGAAGCCTGGGTCACCTCGACGGCTGCTGACCCCTGAGCTGGGGCAGTCCGGTCATGACAGGCAGGGGCCCTGCCTCCCCTAATGCCCAATGGACATTGAAGTGGGGAGGGCCCTGCCTTAGGGTTTAGATATAAAATGTCCTCCCAGATCTTCTGCATTCAGAGGTGGGGCTTTTGGAAAGTGATTGGCTCATGAGGATGCTGTGTTCTTCAGTGGACTCATCCATGGTGAGTTCCTGGGGAAGATGCAGTTAGGAGGCGGGGCCTGGCGGGGCCTGGTGGGTGGAGGCAGATCCTTGGGCACATGGCCTAGAAGGGTGGCTTCTCTTCCCCAGCTCCTCCCTTCTCTGTTTCTGGGCTCCCGCAAGGTAAGTACCTTTCCTCTGCCACGCCCTTCTACCATGGCTTTTCTGCCTTGGAGCCAACCAAGCAGAAACTGAACCCTCAGAAACCATGAGCCACTGTAAACCTCTCCTTCTTTAAATTGAAGATGTTGTGTGTTTTGTTCCCAACCATGAGAAAGTGACTAACATGCTATAGGCTGTGGGCAGATCCTGACTGCGTGAACCTTTCCTGGCTCCCCCGGAAGTGGAGGGAGGAAGGCCACTTTGTCACTGCCAGGCAAGGTCCAAGCCTGGAGCTCCCAGGTGTCTTTGCTGACCCACGTGGATCAGAGCAGAGCCTGTCACTCTTGGCAGGAGAGGGCAGATGTTCTGGGGCCATTTAGTCTGGATCCATGGGCATTTCCAGCTGTCAGCCACCTCAGCTCCAAGTCTGAGATGGGTGAAACCAAAAGAAAACCCAGGAAATTGATACTGTGTCCCCCTGTGGGTCCTATGCTCCCTAGCTGTGACTTCTTTTTCCATCTTTCTGAGTATTCTTTTATTTTATTTATTTATGTTTTGGTACTGGGGATGGAACTCAGGACCTTGAGCTTGTGAGGCAGGCAGCAGAACCACTGAGCTAAATCCCTGCCTGGCCCTCTGAGTATTCTTTTACATATAACATCAAGGGCTTTTTTAGCATCGAATTTTTTTTGTAGGAGGGGGCAGGGTCTCCCTATATAGTTCAGGCTGGCCTTGAACTCACAGCAGTACTTTTTTTTTGGGGGGGGTACCAGGGATTGAACTCGGGTCCTTGAGCTTTCGCAGAAGGTGGCAAAACCACTGAGCTAAATCCCTGGCCCAGCAGTACTTTTTTGTTTGTTTTGTTTTTTTGAGACAGGGTCTCGCTATATAGTCCAGACTGGTGTTGAACTCATTATGTAGCCTAGGCTGGCCTTGAACTCGAAGAGATCCTCCTGCCTCAGCCTCCCAAGTACTGGCATTATTGTACAGGCACGAGCCACCATGCCTGGCAGCATCAAGGTTTTAATTGTATTTTGTAGGAGTAGTAGGAAAAAGTACAGTGCGGACAATGTGTCTAAAAGTGTGCCTTAGTACAATTGTCTTACATGTTTTATATGTTCTTTGGCCTATTAGTCTGGTTTTCAATCTATATGATAATTAACTTTATAAAGTCTTATAAATAAAAAGGAGCTGGGGGAGGGGGAAAATGAAGGGAATTGAAATGTGTATGTACATGTACCAATTCCCTACAGTGAATGTAATCACTACGAACTGCCAACAAATACTAATAAAAGTTCAAAAAATGAAAGAGAAGAACAAGTATATCTATTCCCTCTTTCCCAAAGTGGAAAACACTGTTTTTTGAAAGATTTGACATAACCACTTGAGTGGTTTTAGTCTCTTTGTGCTTGACTCAATCCTGGCACTCACGTTACAAGGCTGCCCTTCTGTATCTTACACAGATTGAGGCCAAGTTGACTTTTCCCGCTACTATTTTATTTTATTTATTTATTTAAGTTTTGTTTTTTGAGTGCGAGACAAGATCTCACTATGGCCTCCAACTCACAATGACCTTCCTGCCTCAGCCTCCAGAGTGCTGGGACTGCAGGCGTGCCCAGCCACGCCCGGCTCCTCCCAGACGTTTAGATCACTTGAGAACTTCGAGTCTCCCCAAAGGCTGGAGGGAAGCCAGAGGTTGCCTATTCCTGCAGTCAGGCGGGCGCAGGTGGGCACGGCCCGGAGTGGCCCAGGGCCCTGCGGGTACCGGGAGATGTGCGCATGCGCAGTCCTTTGCTGAGCCACACCCGACCCTTCGGTCCCACTGACTGGGGTAGGCGGCCCGGGGCGGGAGTGGGTGCAGTTATTTGCATTTGCCATTTTCGTTCGCCCTTGAGACCCTGGCCCGGGGGTTTCCTTGAGCAGGGCCTGTTTGTCAAGTCTGGCCCGGCTTTGGGGACCGCTCGGCCGGCCGAGACGTTGGAGTGGAGGTGGGGCCGGCAGCGGCGCCTCTCCCCGCACAGGTAAACCCTGCACAGGTAAAGTGTGGGGAGCGGCCGCGCTCCGCCCGCCGAGCCCCAGGTGTGCTTGCCCAGCGCCTCTCCATCAGCGCCTGTCAGCCGGCGAGTGTTTACCCAATTTGTCAAGATGATCTCTGCTCAAATAAGCCCGGGCCGGCCCGCATTTCGTCGGGCTAATGTCACTCGATTTCTTCAGCCCTTTCCCTTTAATCACTGTGTCAACTTCGCCCCGGCTTTGAGCAAACTGAAAGTCATTATATGGTCCTGAAGGAGTGACCCGACCTGCGCAGGCCTTCTCTGAGCCGCCTCGGGCTGATCGGGCCTCGGGGAAGGAGCCCGGGGTGGACGCCTGGGAGGGAGGTGGTGTCGCCCGCGGCCTCAGGTTTCCCGGAGACGTTAGGCGCTCTGCAAAAAACCCGCAGGCCTGACACCCAGATGGCGTTCGCCCAGCGCCTTGAGTCTCGGCCTAGCGCGAGTGGCTGGGGCTTCAAACCTGCGCTGCTTCCGTTTCCTTACACGGTTTCCCTGCTGCTGACACCTCGGGCGATGCCGTTTTGTTTGAAAAACAGAAGCACCAAAGGTGACCACATCTTTCTCCTTCTACCCACTGACATCCTCCCACGGAACTCCAGATATGTCCAAAAATAGGAAGCTCGGCCGTCTTGCTATGGATGGTTTCTATTTTTGGGTCTCTCTGCATTCCCAAAGTCTGCGGAGGCTGAGATTCCCCAGGCTCTGCCCTTTGTGTAATTGTGTGTACACACACTCTCGTGTCCAGCAGCCGTTAACAGTCTGGGTTTATTTCACTGACCACAGTAGCCCTTTGCTCCCTTACTCTTTTTTCTTTTCTTTTTCTTTCTTTCTTTCTTTCTTTCTTTCTTTCTTTCTTTCTTTCTTTCTTTCTTTCTTTCTTTCTTT